CGTCGTAAGGAGGGTTTGTGCGTGGTATCATCATCAATCATCATCATCATCATCATCATCATCATCATCATCATCATCCATCACAGCAGCAGCAGCAGCAGTAGTAGTAGTAGCAGCAGCAGCGCAGCAGTAGCAGCGCAGTTAGTAGTAGCCCAGCAGCAGCAGCCAGTTAGACAGCAGTAAAGCAGCAGCAGAGCAGCAGCAGCAGCAGGGCAGGCAACAGGCAAACAGCAACAGCAACAGCAGCAGAACAGTAGTAGTTAGCAGCAGCAGTCAGAGTAGCAGCAGCAGCAGCAGCAGCAGTAGCAGTAGTAGTAGGCAGCGCAGCAGCAGTAGCAGTAGCAGTAGCAGTGCAGCTAGCAGCAGCAGAGCAGCGCAGCAGCCGTAGCAAGAGCCAGCAGCAGCAGTAACAGCCAGCCCAGCAGTAGCACAGTAGTAGCAGCAGGAGTAGAGTAACAGCAGCAGCAGCAGCAGCAGTAGTAGCAGAGCCAGCATCAGTAGTAGCAGCAGTAGGCCAGCGAGGAGCGGCAGTAGCAGCAGTAGCAGCAGACAGCGCAGCAGTAGCAGCAGCAGTAGTAACAGCAGCCAGCAGCAGTAGTCAGTAGTAGTAACAGCCGCAGCAAGCCGTCTAGGCAGCAGAGCAGCAGCAGTAGCGCAGCAGCAGCAGCAGTAGCAGCCAGCAAGTAGCAACAGCAGCAAGTAAAGCAGGCAGCGTAGTAGCACGCAGCAGTCCGTGTGCCTCACGCGGTAGGTGGCCACGGCACAGTAGGGCAGCGCAGCAGTAGATAGTAACCGCGAGAGCCAGCAGCGAGCAGCCAGCAGGTAGCAGCGAGTGCAGCCAGCAGCAGTAGTAGTAACAGCAGGAGCAGCAGCAGCAGCGCAGTAAGCAGCAGCAGCAGTCCGTGATGCCTCACGCGGTGGTGGCCACGCGCAGCCTGAGTAGCAGCCAGCAAGCAGCAGCAGCAGCAGTCCCGTGATGCCTCACGCGGTGGTGGCCAAGCTCCCTACGAGCAGCAGACAACGGCACAGCTCGCGCCGGTTGAGACTGAGAGTGACACGCTTGAACCTGTTGACGCCTCCTCGTCGCGCGCGCCGCGCGCGCTCGCTTGTGTGTGGTGTGTGTGTGTGTGTTGTGTGTGTGTGTGTGTGTGGTTTGTTGTGTGTGTGTGTGTGTGTGTGTGTGTGTGTGCGCGAGGTGTGTGTGTGTGTGTGTGTGTGTGTGTGTGTGTGTGCTGTGTGTGGGTGTGTGCTGATGTGTGTGTGTGTGCGTGTGACGTGTGCGTGGCGTGGATGGGAATGGTGTGCGCGCGACCTGACGTGCTGTGCAGCGGCGTGTTTTGTGTGCCTGGTACATACGCGGGCGCCCCGTGTTTGTGTATATCGTATAGCTGTATGTGAGCGTGCATTTGTCCGTGCGTGCGTGCGCGCCCGTACGTGTGTATATTTGTGCCTGCATCATGATCACCTCTCCTCGTTTGTCACCGCATGTTCACATGATCACAGTCAGCTCGTGTGACGAACGCAGACGAATAAACGTTAACCCCACAGACGAGTTTCAACAGGGAAGCAACAATAGCTGTGCGTGTGTTTCGGATACCGCTGCTGCAGCTGCAGTGCAATGATTATGTACCAGGAAACCATCAAATGTGAATTTACGTGTTAAGTAACGACGATTTGATCGTGTTTGTGTGCGAAGCTCGGGTTGGCGGCCTTTTAGTTACAAAGTTGCGAGGTTGCTCAGGCGTTACGAGCCAGGATAAGTGTGCGTGATATCGGATGAAGGTTTCTGTCTCAGTGTTGTGGGGTGCCTGCTGCAAAAATATGCGACAAAGATACGTGTGTGGATGTACAGCCTGTTCAGCTTCTGCTAGCATCTATGACAAATACGACATACGCATATGCGCTCTCCTATGACACTATTTGTCATAGCAAGATTCTTCCTATGACAAATATTGTTGTATGTGTTGTGCGCATCATACTCATAGGGGTTTAGCAGCACTATTATGAACGCAAGCAGTGAATTTCAGCTGTAAAGCGGAACGAAGTTGACTCGCCAATATTTGTCATAGGAAGAATCTTGCTATGACAAATAGTGTCATAGGAGAGCGTATATATATGCGTATGTCGTATTTGTCATAGATGCTAGCAGAACATGTTGGGTTGTATCAGGGTGATCGAGCATAGTGTGGTGCACGTTGTGCATTTGTAGAGATGCAGTGTTCGCATTGGATGATGTGCATCGTCCGAGAACTAGGGTCTGCCCTCCTGCTAGCGTGCGATCGTGCAATGTGCATGCACTAGATCCATAATTATATAGATTGCAAGCTGGCGTTACCTTTGCCTCTTTATACGCTAAACACCCAGCACACCAACGAGCCTTCTATGGAATCTCATTGTGCTCTGCGTTGGTTGGTACGTTGTGTTTGATCAGATTCTGCGATCGATTTGCATCGCATGAACATCCGGAGACGATGAGCCATTATTACCATGATGAACTTGGACACAAAAAATTTCCTAGCTGAATTGTGAAGTACGATCGATGACTACGATCGATGACTCATCGATGCTGTCTGTATTTAAACTCATGCTATAATCGAGTAAGGTACTTTTCGTACACTAGACATCGTAGCTGAAGAGGTGAGGCAAAAGTGGAGGCTGTGACTTGTTTTGTGTGGTACGGGCTGGCGGTGGTGGTGGGGGGATATCGCGTGTTAAAACACTGGGTTGAGTCATTTGCGTGTCAATTAGGTTGCATGCGTAAACACTTAATGAGCAGCGTTAACGAAGAAACGAGTCGGCAGAGTGAGCTGCCTGCGTGGTGCGACGCTACCAGTTTTTCCTCTCTTTCTTTTTCTCTTTCTGTTTCACTCTCTAATGCTTACTCCCTTCCTCCCTCCCACCCATCCATTCATCCGTCCCTCTCCCTTTCTTCCCCTCTCTCTCCCTGCCTCTTTCTCCCTCCCACTCTCTCATTTTCTCCCTCTTTTTTCCACAAGTTCGCTACCCGGTTTGAAAAACCTCCAGAAGTTATTCATAGATGCATGCTTCCGTTGCATTACACGAAGTGCATTTCGTCTAAGTATGCTCGCACTGTGTTTCAATATCAGTCATAGTCAGTGAAGCGCAGGGAGAGAGTGTCTGTGTGCGCTCGCGTGTGTGTGTGTGTGTGTCCGTCGTCTGTCATGGAGGTCGGAGTTTGCGTTGCTGTGGAGCACAGTCACGTGACGGTGGTAAACCCCAAAATGCTCGCCATTTATGTGTTTGTTTTGGATCGAAAGATCCTGGCTGTTTGTGGGTTTGTTTTGGCAGCCGGTCTCTATGCCTGCCTGCCTGCCTGCCTGCCTG